CCTCAAGTCCCCCAGTTTGTCTTCTGCAGGCCTTGAAGACGAGGCTTTTGTACGTCCTCTCTACAAGTTCAGAGAGTAGCTCAACCCTCAGAGGCGCCTCCCTCCGGCCGTGCGAGCTCTGGGCCGTGGCCCCTGGGATGTGGAAGGCCCTCTGCAGACGCGCCTGCGGGTCCTCCCACAGCCATCTCCTAGTTTAACCTTCTGTAAATAGACTTCCTGAGCGCCGGTCTCCTTTTCCTTTAAAATAAGGATGGACTGTATTCCTTTTCTTCTTGTAAAAGTACTTTATGGTCACTGGAGGAAAATCAGAAAATACTAGTGAGCAAGAAGTGATAAGAAACACCCTGCAAATACTGCTCCTCGGCTGTGCCCATGCCGCGGCGCCGGCCGAGAGCTGCCCTGTGAGAGGAGGCAAGGTGCTCTCCTTTCTCTGCCGAGCTTGCCACTTCTGGAGTTCACACCAGGCTTCTGATGTGATTTCAGAGTGACTTATTCCAGAAAGAGCCCAGCGGAAGATCCCCTCTCTCAGGGCCTGGCGCCTGGGCCGTCAGTGGGCAGTGCTCATGGCAGGCAGGCGATTCCTCATGGCCCTAACTAAGCCAGCCTCCCCGGGTCCTTGGAGAGGCCTCCGAGCCCTGCACACACCCCCAACCCCAAGGCTTCTAGGACAATCTGAGAATCCTAACACAAGTTTGTGCGTTTGTTGCCACTCTGACCCATCTTTCCGCTTTCCAAGGTGCGTGGCAAAATTCCAGCCATTTCTTCCACCTCCCCATCTCTCCCTCACTTGTTCTCAAGGAAGACCCCTAGGCCAGGCACAGGAGCCTGCGTTCCAGTTCCCCTGGTCGCCCCGCCACCATGGCCCCCTTGGGCTGTGTCTCTAACGCCTGTCCTCATTCCGCGGGTTCCTGGGAGAAGCAGTAAGACAGCCGCTGGGGAAGATGAGCTCGCAGCCCAGCTGGCCGGGGAGGCACCAGCCCCCGTGTGCTGCCGTCGGGGCTGCTTCTCAGGCCTCAAATCCCGGGCACCTCTGCCGTGCCCTGCATGTGAGGGAGTCCCCAGCCAGGTCTGTCACTACAGCGACTTCTCAAGGGGCTTTTAAACTCAGAGCTTTCTAAAGAAAGCTAAAGAAGTCAGTGAGAATGACTGAACCCACACGGTGGGACGCAACCCGTGCTCCATACAGGCCACAGTGACATGAGCGTGACCCCACCACGGTGCAGAGGGACCTGGTTACTACCTTCCCAGTGCTGCTCTCTAGGGCCAGATAACCCTGTCTCAGGTTGGGCTGCCTGCAGAGCCGCTGAAGGGGTTCAGGCGTGTGAGACTTATTGAGGGACAGCTTTCCAGGAAGAACCGTGAGGGAGTGAGGGGTTCAGGACGGGCGGGAAGCAGCCGTGCCTAGATGTGGCATCGGGTAACACACACCTGTAGCCTGATCCACCAGACGCTCTGGAGCATCAGCAGCATGACACAGCTGTCCCCATTTTGAGGCAAGGGCACTGGCCTTATATATCCCCATATCATCTAGGCATCAACCACGCCTGGCAGAGCATATGACCTTCTAGGCAAGACAACTCCCATTTCTTGAGGGCAATTCTGCAGAGAAAGGGGCAGCTGAGAGCCATTAGCAGGCAAAGCTCAAAGCAGCTGTGGAGGGAATCCAGCTACAGCACTGCCATCTAGCGAAACCCCCTTAGCCGTGGTGTGCTTGCGGGTTGTCTCAGGTTTGGTCCAATCCAAATTTCTCTCCTTCTATTGTAAGAGATCATCTCAGCTCTGGAATGACTTCTTTCTTGCCTGAGGGACATTGTTCACTTACAGAAACTCCACTGCGTGGGGGGCTGTGGATCTGATTTCCAGCTAAAGTGGCCGTTCCATCTCTGATTCTTAGCCAATCAAAGAAATATTTTCAGTTTTCCCACAGGGAAGCAAGGTCACTTTTCTGCCAGAGTTTCCACAAACTGACTTGTAAAGGGACTGTCACTGTGTAAACTCCAGTCCATAAGTGCCCTGGGTGCAAATGGGGACAAAAAATGACTTGCTTTAGAATCTACCTTGTGTCTTGAATCCTTATGGTAATAGTGACTATTGCATTTGACACATGATTGGTGATGCTTTATAGTACCTAGAATGGCTGTTACTCAGGGTAACGGTCTGGGTTGTTGGCTTGTGAATTTCCTTCTTGAATTTTTCAAGGTAGCCTGGCCTGCAGGATAGGAAAGAAAGGAACTGAAACTCAGCACAGGACTCAGAGCAGGGTCTCTCTCCCTACTGTGTGCTCCACCACCAACCTCTGTTACCTCCAACTGCTTCTCAGAGAGTTCCAGAGCCCCGGAGGCTCAACTCTAGAAGGAAAGCACCAGCCATTCTGGACCTGCCTGCTTGTCTGTATAGAAACTCAGTGGTAGAATGTGGCATTTCATCCACACCTAAGGTTCTGGACATTCCAGAAGCCTCCAGCAAAGTGGCCAGAAAACCTGCATAAGAGGATTGACAGTTTCCCCAACTTCTTTTCCTAGAGCCTGTGAACTATGGCAAAAACGGAATGTGCTTAAAACAGAAGCCGGAGAGATTCTCGGGCAGAGAGGGGCGGGGGGGTGTTATCAGGTTCAAAGTGAACATACACAAGCAATCTAGATCCATGCTATCCAATACAGAAACAACCAGCCGCATGTGGCTACCTGATAATGTAAATTCATTTAAATTAATCACTAAATTAGGGGGCCGGCCCTGTGGCCGAGTGGTTAAGTTCTCGCACTCCGCTTGGGCGGCCCGGGCTTTCGCCGGTTTGGATCCTGGGCACGGACATGGCACCACTCATCAAGTCATGCTGAAGTGGCATCCCACATGCCACAACTAGAAGGACCCACAACTAAAAATACACAGCTATGTATCGCAGGGCTTTGGGAGAAAAAGGAAAAATAAAATCTTAATCACTAAATTAAATTAATTAAAAATTCAGTTCCTCGCTCACAATCGTCGCATTTCAAGTGCTTGATGGCCACAGTGGCCGGTGGCTACTGTATTGGACAGCACAGATATAGAACATTTCCATCATGGCAGAAAGTTCTATTGGCCAGCGCTGGTCTAGACATTTGTAAATATCCGATGCGTATGAGTGTGTGTATATATTTTATCTTCAAAGCAATTCTTCAAGGTAGGAAGTAATATCCCCGTTGTACAGGTGAGGAAAGTGAGCTCAAACAGCTCAAATGCCTTGCCCACAACTGGACCTTTAGTCCACCCCTATAGCTTTCTGCCTGTAGGCTAAAGACTAAATGATCGATAGTCATTTATCAGGTCACCTATTGTTTCTGACTCTGTTCTGAGTAAATAGCATCTTCTTTGAGAGATCCAGTTGGCTTTCCACACTCTAACCTCCAAAGGTGGCCTAATGCCCGCACTCCACCAAATTGGATAATTTCCCCCAGAGCCTGGTGTGTGGGACCCCACGGCCACCACCCTCACTCCATGATCTCCATGGCCAGTGGATGCTTCCTGCATTATCCAGCATCAGCGTCCACACGGAGTGCACACAGCAGCACTCCAAGAAACTGTTTAAGTATGTTTTTGTAAAGTTTCTCGGAGAGTATTGCCTTTATCAGTGAGCTGCAGGGTAAGCTTCAGCCAGCCTCTCCAGGTTCATGGCCTTGGTTCCCAGGGCAATGCAGAACCAAGACTTGGCTCTGAGCCGGGTCTGTGACCAGCATATTTTTGTAGATGTGCTCTACAAGATATGTGTTTAAAAATGCCCACCAAGTTATGCTCCAAAATAGCCGTGTCCAGGGAGGGTATTAACACAGGCAGAGGGCCTGGGGAGGGGACCATGCTCCCGGCACTGTGCTCAGTGTTTTCATCTATGGTCTTATTCAACCAACCTCATAAAACCCACCCACAATGACAGTGAGGCTGCAAGTATTTAAATAATTTTCCCAAGCTTTCCTGACCAGTAAGTGTAGAAGCAGAATTCTAACCCAAATACGTTTATTTCCAAAGTCTGGGGTCTTTCCATTACGCCAGGCAATCCTCCAGTGTCGTTTCCTTCGTTATGTTTCCAGTACATCTCACCTTCAAAGGAGGCCACCTCCAGCAAGGAGATTGGTTGTATGGAAAGACAGGTGAGGGTGCGTAGGTTGACCCTCCCTGGGACTCTGGCTCTAGGACCAAAGAGACTCCCAAATTCCCCTGATCTTTCAAAGGACTGTCCTTCACTGGGATTAACTAACCCAGTTTCAGCTTTTCTTATGATAGGAATAACAATCACGTTAGCAATAACTTCTGTTTGTCAAGGTACTTAGCACTTTAGAAGAAAGGCTGTATGAGCTCCTGTCTCAGTCTGGGTTGCCCCAAAAGTAGACCCTGAGATGGGACTTGGGTGCTGACAATTTTTTGAGAGGTGATCCCGGGAAACAGAAATGAGGAAGTGGAGATGTGAGACAGGGAAGAGGAGAAAATCAAGAAGAGTGTGTTATGTGCAAATTGCCACTGTGGGCAACTAGGCTCCATCCTACTGGGGACGTTGAGTTGTCCCACTGAGGAACAGGGAAGCCAGGGTATATTTATCCCCCACCTTCTGTCAATCATTGGTAGAGAGTTGTCCCTGAGGCGTTAAATCCCTGACATGTTCGGGCTGCCCTGCACACAGGCTCAGCAAGCTCCCACGGTGCAGGGGAAAGCTCCAGGAGAGAAGCTGGGGGATGCCGATACCCGAGGTGGGAAGCAGTCAGGGTCCACGGGAGCCACAGCTGCAGGGGCACTCAGAGCTGACCTAGGGGAAGTAGGAAAGGCATCAACAGCATCTGCTACACTCCCCTTCCACAGACAAGGTTCAGAGAGGATAGGTAACTTGCTCAGGCTCGCACAGCTGGTGTAGGAATTAACCCAGTTCTGTCTGATTAACCCCAAAGGCCCTGCTCTTTCTGCTACCTGAGGCTGCCTTCAAAACCCCCTCAACCAGTGTGCCCATCCCTTACCATATCTTATCGCTTTGTCCTCAGGAAAATACCATCCACTGGCAAGTTGGTGCTGACCCTCACAACCGATGCGTGTGAGGGGAAGGAAAATTTTGTCCGCTACCTCGAGCACGTCCAAGCTGTCATCACGGTCAACGCAACCAGGAGAGGAGACCTGAACATCAACATGACCTCCCCTATGGGCACCAAGTCCATTTTGCTGAGCCGGCGTCCGAGGGATGATGACTCCAAGGTGGGCTTTGACAAGTGGCCTTTCATGACCACCCACACTTGGGGGGAAGACGCCCGAGGAACCTGGACCCTGGAGTTGGGGTTTGTCGGGAGCACACCCCAGAAGGGGGTGCTGAAAGAGTGGACACTGATGCTGCATGGCACGCAGAGCGCCCCTTACATTGATCAGGTGGTGAGGGATTACCAGTCCAAGCTGGCCATGTCCAAGAAGGAGGAGCTGGAGGAAGAGCTGGACGAAGCTGTGGAGAGAAGCCTGAAGAGCATCCTGCGCAACAACTAGCACCGCGCCCCGGCCTCCACGCCTCCCTCCTCCCAGTCTCTGCCCCTCTGTCCTCCCTCCACTCTCCATCGGGCACCGAGCAGTTACTCTTACACAAGTGATGCCAACTTCTTGATCTGAAGCTTCGCTCACTGTCAGTGATTATTTTCATTACAATGGAAGCAATCTTTTTTATTCTATGCCCCAAATACAGTGTTCCCACCAACACCTATGTCTTATTTGTGACTCTAAGTTCTTTATTTGTGTCATTCAAATAGATGATATCCTGCAAACAAAAGTGGGACAGCTTTCCCATCAATTTTTTTCATACCTGAGAAGTGAAGAGAATGCATTTAAAAAGCCACACACAGTGACTCCAAGAACGTTTATTCATGGTCTCAACTGAGGACCTGTTACGTAAAATGAAAATCAAAGATGATGACAGAGGGTGAGCTCTGAACCCTTTAAAGCACAGGAGATGCAGTAAACCCTTTGGGGAGAGATGTTTTGAACTTAGCAAGATTTGTCAGTGATGTCGATGCAGGTGGCATGATTTGAAAGATGCCAGCCCTGAGAGCCCTAATTCCTGGATGGGGAAGAAAGAGTCAAACAGCATGAGCACTGGACGTCTTACCACCAACACCAACATCATAACTCGTCCTGCCCAGCCAGGGTGATAAATATAAAACCCAGGTGGCCTGGCTGGCCTTTCACCAGCTGCTGCTCTGCGTTATGGTTAAAGCTGCTGGAGAAGCCCAAATTACTCTCAGTTTGTATAGAGTTCATCCCAGCCCCGATTTTCTGGGGTTCCTCACACAGCTATACAAAAGAATAAGAGGTGAGGTAGGTCTGGCAACATGTCTGGTAAAGAATAGCTGAGTGGGTTTTCACACAGGACCAATTCTTTTTCCTAAGTCACTTTGGGCTTCTTAATCTGATTTAAGTGAGAGGCGAGGTGAGTATTTTTGACAGCTTTTCACACATATACTTGGGCTTTGATTTCCAAAACGTATGATTGAGGGAAATGTCTTATTCCTTCATGTTGTGATTTGTTTGACGTGTCAGGGAAAGAGGTGTGTGAAGGGGGCATGAGTGAGGACGTGAGCAGCCATGTTCACATGGACCTCCATTGGTATGGAGCCTCTTCTGCCAAAGGGGGGGAATGCCAGCTCATCCCCAGGACCTCAAGGCCTGAAGGGAGCAAGAGAAGACCTCCCTCTGTAGAGAAAGCACACAGTTACCATCTTGGCAACTAAGCCATCCATGAGAATGTTTAACATGCAACCCAAAGGTGATACATTCCTTTCCTCTGTCAACCCCAAAAGACACCACACCATTTCATTGCCAAATAGAAATGCTTTCTGACCCGCTGTCACTTTGTTTTCCTACTCAAGGATTGGCTCCACATCCCCAATCCCAATGCCCATCCAAGCAATGATTTGTTTGATTTGATTCCCAAAATCGGATCCACCACTTCTGATTGCATTTCTCCCTTCCCCTGGGAGTCTGGGGCTAAGCCTGGGCTTCCTTTCCTTAAAGCCAGCAACACGAGAGCACGAGGTTTTGTTCCCTGAAGGTGGCAACTTAGAGATAGAAGTCTGGAAAACCCATTTCCTTTCTTTTTCCCTCCATGTTGGCATGAATTTCTGTCTTCTCCAACACCATATGACCTTCTCTATAAAATGCTTTAAAATGTAATAATATTTATGATTTTTAAAAGAAATTTATTACTTGTTGCGAAGGTCTTTTTAAACCAGTTTAGAATTCAAGAACAAATAAATGGAAATCATCAAAAATTCATTTCACATTAACAGTCTGAAAATAAACCAAAGGACATTATGTGTGCATGTGTGTATAGGTGCACACAGAAATATATATACACATGTAGACTATATACATGTGTGTATGTATGTGTATATATATACACTTGTATAAATGTATATACACACATATGCCTAAAATGTGTGTATGTGTATTTATGGAAGAAACAGACATCATATTCATCGCTAAAAGAATATTCAGAGAATATCAAGATGATTCTGGCTGAAGAAAAAGGCCGGTGGAAATTCAGGTGAAAATGTTCATTGATTCCCATTAAGTCACCTCTGTAATTTTGCAGCTCTCTGTATAAATATTAAATGTCTTATATAGCAGCAAAAATATAAAATAGTTGTCCATATTTTCACAGTTGTGGTATAATTTATGAAATCAGAGAGTAACTATCAGCTTCTTAATAGAAACGGCAAGTTTTGATATGAGTATACAGTATATAAAAATATATATAGTGCTATATAAAAATATTTGGTCTCTATTTCATTTTTTGCATCAGTATCAACACGAAAATATGTCTAGCTAGTGAGGTTTTTATGATATCCCTGATCCTAATGCAAGAGACATTTATAGTCATTATTTTTAAAAATGAAAATAAGTAAATAATAATTAAGCAAGTTAACATTGTTACTCCCTGTGACAAAATTTTATAAGTAAATTAAAAAAGACATGTTGTAAATTAGGAGACTCAACAATAAAACATTACCTTCCAGAAATAATGTGGGATGTGATATGTATTACATGAAAGTGCTTACATCCATGCTAGGAGCAGATAATAAAAAGTTGCCAGAGAAATCTGAAAAGCCTACTTCCATAGATATGCATGAAAGATTTTTAATTAGCAAATAAATCATACACAAATTATGGTCTATAGCAGCATTGTTCAAAGTCAGGTTACATCCCATTAGCAGATTGTAAAATAAATTTAAAGAGTCAAGATCAGCATTTGAGGATAGAACAGGATAGGGTAGAATAGAATAGACTAGCTTAGATCACCCATATTAATAATAAGTATTGTTTCCTGAAATATTTGTTTCAGGTGTATGTGTGTGTGTCTGTGTCTTGAGTGTGTGGCTCACAATGAAAAATACATTTCTTATTGTGGGTCATGGTGAAAAGTCTTTTAGAAACACTATTCTAGAATATATTAGTCAGGCTAGACTAAGTTATACTGTATTAACAAATAGCCCCAAAAGCTCAGTGCTTTAACACAACAAGGGTTTATTTATCATTCACACAAATTCCCCTGAAGGATTGGGTGACTTCCCAGGGCCACAGACCTCCATGCAGTGACTCAGGGATTCTGGCCACTTCAGTCTTCAATTTACAGTTGGTAATCCTAACACGAGGCTGCTACAACCGCCATGTGAGAGAAGAGGACCCATGGAGGACTCTCATCCACTCTCCAATGTTCAGCCTGAAGGAGACACACATGTCCCTTGACCTACTGCCCATTGGCCAGGACTGGTCAACAACCCTGCCTAAATACCAGGTGACTGGGGAAGGTAGGCCAACTAATGGAATACGTGATGAGCATTAGAGTGTCTACCACACAGAGAGCTGGACATTCCCTTAAAACATATTCTTGAGCACTGAATTACACGGGAACCTCTCTTCATGGATCGTACTGTGAACAGTATTACAAACTAGCTGTACCCCATGTGATGGCAAGCTATTCTAACAAACCCTAATAGTTATTAATAAACTACTAATATATTTATCAAGGTTCACTGTAAAAACAATTTTCACTCTTGTCCTCTAATACAATACTTATCAAACGAAATTAGTAAAATCTTAAGTGAGCCTATCATCAAAACAGATACTGAAAGTTGTGAGGTCCAAAGTCTGATCCTGTGACAAACTGAGACCCTGCTTTTTAATACTTTTAAGTTCAAAGGTTGATTTCTAAAAGATCAAGTTTAAAAACTTGATATATAGTATAGTATATATATAGTATAACTTATAGAGTTATACTATAAGTCATTGTTATTATGACATAAATTAGTAAGAGTGGTTTTCATGTGATCAGTGCCTTCCCTGGTTGGAGTAATTGCCACAATAAAAACCACACACTACAAAATCTTTAGTCAACATAGACAAGCATTTTATATTTAGAGAGAGAACTGCTGAATTAAGGGAATTGGTGCCCTCATAGCCAGAGTGAGTTGTTGGATGCAAAGAGTCCATTTTGATAGAAATTTCTAAAAATCAAAATGCCAAGATTAGAGACAGTGATTGTGGGAGAGAATAAGGGGTTCTAAAAGCTCTGGTGGTTTGAAAGAGCATCAGCACAGAATGTGTCCGGGGTCGACCAAGGTGATTTGGTCGTAGCCGGATGGGCAGGTCTCTGTCTTCAAAGAAGGAAGGAGCTGACAAAAAGGATGGGGAGGAGAGGCTGGCACTCAGCACGTGGGAGCTCAGGGAAATGGAGAGGCAAGGGGGTGACAGGTGGCAGACAGCATCTGGCGGCGGTCAGTGTAGGAAAACACAGAGGCTGGTATATAAGGGAATTCAAGTCCCCGAAGAGCTGAAGGCTGTTGAGGACAGAGCCCAATGCACTGGGGCAGCCATCCCCAGGCAAGTGCCTTGAAACACCATCCATCTGCCAAGGGTCTGACTCCATGCCCACCCACAGCCTCTTGACGCCTTAATCAGCTTCCCGAGGACATTAACCCCAGGAGAGGGGGTAACAAGCATAAGGGATACCAGCACCTGGATCTCTAGCAAAGGAGGCTGCCCTCTGTGCATTGCCAATGCATCAACTAGTACTCGAGTGTTTCCACCAGCCTCTTGTGCATTTGGTTGAAGAGTCCCTTTCCTTGGATTCAAAAAACTCTGCTTGAATTTGGTTTGGGAATTATAAGGGACCACGAGTCAAAGTCTGACCTGAGGCAAATGCTGCAAGCCAGGCTGCCAGCTCCGCTTTTCTCTCAAGACTCACTCTTTGTGAACCCGAGGACAGAATGAACTGACTGTGCACTCGTCCCAAAGGGATGAGACTCTGTGCTGCTACAGTCCTACTGCTCGGCCTGGCAGGGGCGGGGGGGGGGGGGGGGGGGGGGGGGGGGGGGGGGGGGGGGGGGGGGGGGGGGGCAACGATTAGAAATCCCAGCCTACAGAGTCTTAGAAGCCAGAACACCCAAATGAGGCCAGCAATTCCTCAGGTCTAACGTGAACTGTCACCCATTTCCACCATGGCCAATCCACCCTCACCATCGGGGGGAGACGGGGGGGTTCCACCTCATAGCGCTCTCAGAGACGTCCTTCTGCACCCAAGAGGACACCTGATGGCCTACTCCAAGCTGGACAGAAGGCAGAGGCTGTGACCATTTTCTCTTTTGGCCCCTGCACTGGAGCCAGTGACGCCACAGGTGACAGATAAGCCACCTGGTAAGCTCCTGGTCACAAGGACACAAGCAGGCCCGTGAAGGGGCAGGTGTGACTGGTGAGGGCACGAGCACAGCAGTCATTCACCAAGGGTGTGTCTCCTGAAAGAATATATATCTCAACTCAAAAACCCTGTTTCTCTGAATAAAACACAAGTCAGTGTGGCTCTTCTGTGGCATTTAGTTGCTCTTCTCCAAGCACAAGAAATTGGAGTCAGGCATTTGTACTAATCAACGTACCAGAATGATGTCCTTTGTCATCAGTGTGCCAAGTGCTATATGAGTTTTGAGGTGACTTCATTCACCAGCAAAATGCCAACTACAAACCTGTGATACAAAAACGTTGGGACAAACCTGACTATAATGGTTGCTTCTAGATCATTTCTTATAATTTAAGCTTCAAGTCAAGGAGAGATCTAAATGGAATTTTCCAACATGAACGGGGAAAGAAGAAACAATAGAGACGCCAGGTGAGACGCGTCTTGAGATGCATGAATTGAACTTTGCATTAGACCCTGCTGGTGCACGCGCTACCTCCAGGGTTGGGAAACCACTGCCCAGGGACCCGATCCAGCCCGCCGCCTGCGTTTGTCAATCCATTCTCTTGGAGAGGACCACGCCTATTTGCGCCTGTATTGTCTGTGGCTGTTTTCACTCTCAAACGGCAGAGTTGAGCAGTGGAATCAGAGGCTGTGCAGTCTATAATCTGGCCATTTATAGAAAACGTTTGCCTACTTCTGCCCTCTATCTCCTCGGCCTGCCCAGAGGTCAAGGAGGACAAACAGGAAGGAGCAGGCCCCTTGTCCCCCCTCCAGCCTTCACTCTTCCCCTGCTAGGGAGGGGCTGGCAGAGCGGGAAGGAGGTGGCAGGCCCCCCGCCCGGCAGCAGAGTGTAGAAAGGTGGGCTCGGAGCTGAGAGACGCACCGCGCTCCTGTGACCACCGCTCTGATAAACCACCTGTGCCCAAGAGCTGCTTTATGGTCTGCTTTGGGTGCAGCCCTACCTAATCTTAAACCATAAGTTCTCCGTCGATACCGAATCTCATTCATTAGCAGTCATCTTCAGGATCTCCAGGCTTGCAAGCAAGAGAACCCAACTCTAATGAAAACAAACAAGCAGCACGTCCACAGCATGTGGAGCAGCTCTCAGAGCAGAGGAAGAGCCTGAAGAGCCAGCCGAGACCAGCCTGAGAAGGGACGGAGATTAGAGGAGGCCTGGGGACGGGCACACAGCGGGGAACAGCGGTGAGCACATCACAACTACCCGGTTGCGGGCCCAGTTCTGGCGTTTCCAGTCTTGGCTTCACTGGACTCCCATTTCCAACTCCAATGATGGGTCTAGTTTGGGACACTCGCCCACCCCACAGCCAGAGGAAGGCAAATGTCTTACAGCATGGTCAGGGTTACGCCCAGCGTGGGAGGAGCAGCGCCGTCCACAAAATCGGGGCGGCCACCTGAGGAGCAGGTGTTACTGAGAAGACGCCAACCAGCTGGGGTGTGGTCCTCCCAGAAGCCGACTCGGAGACAAGTTGTTGAGGTTGTTTATTTGAAAGGAAGCATCTTCATTAGGAGGGCAGGAAAGTGAGACAGGGAAGGAAGGAGGCCAGTTCAGGGCACACTGATGAGTGGATTTCTTTGTGGGCGTCTCGGGCTCAGACCCACTGGGCCCTGTGTAGAATATGCCTCAGTTATCCCAATGGAGGGGAGAGAGAGCTGGGGTATTTACACACCTGGTCTTGTCCATCCTGGTTGAGGGCTGCCTGCAGGAGCGTGAATGCCCTGGTGCCCCCACCCTGCCTGGGGAGTGCACCGAGCACACTGCTATGGCCTCCAACGGCCTCAGGAAGCCTAAGGCAGAGAGTCGCAGGTGTGTGCTGTGAGAAGTCTGGGAGCAGAGGCATGAACCAGAACAGCGAGGGGCGGGGAGGTGAGGGACCAGCAGCCAGGGCAGCGGTTACAACGGCAGTTACCCAGGTCGCTGACTCAGATGCTTGGAGAACGGGAGGCTGGGGAGCTGGGATGCAGCTTCCTTGTGAGGAGGCAGCTCCGGGAGTGTCTCCGTCCTGGCCTCGAGGCCGAGGCAGGGAAGAGGAGGCCGGGCCCCCTGGTATGATGGTCAGGACCAGCTGCTGCAGCACTGGCACTTGAGGTGACTCAGGCCAAAGCTCCAGCATTCTCTTGTCACTGATGCTGGTAGAAGGCCCACTCTGAGCCCCCATGCTTACTAACAGGAAATACTTTTTATAAAACCAAAGTGCTCGTTTTCAGAGACCTCGGGGAGAGGAAAAGCCAGGAAATGAACCCATTCTGCAGCTCCCCTGGGGAAAAGAG